ACAGGCCCCAAAAGGCATCCGGACAGATTTTGGATTAACAATTCCATGTTTGAGCTCTTCTAAGTACAGGTTTGTAGAAGGATAAAATGACTCCTCCAAACATTAAGCGGACCACTCAATCAGAAGACTCGTTTGGTGAACAATCAACAGTGCACAACCTATTTCCCCTTGCTGTTTTGTTCTGATGCCAAGATGTCTAACTTTTCTATCTTCTATATCTCCCTGGTGCGTGCAAGGTTTTTGTTCTCAAAACATTCTCCCTGATCAGATTCTTTTACGGAAAAACAACGCTGTACCAACGAATTGCCCTGTTGTTTTGCGCTGGTGCCACAATATGGAACTTTTCTATCTTCTGTATCTAAATGGTGCGATCAGGGTTTTGTTGTCCTACCACTCTATCCCTTTAGTTTCATTCGGTGAAAAATTCAGAATGTACCAGCCGTTTCCCCTGATGGTTTGTTGTTTATCCCAATACACGTTCTTTTTTCATCTGTTTTATTGCCATGGTATTGTTTTTCTTTTTGGGTGGATCATGTTGATTCGGTACGGCGTTTAAAACATCACCACAATCGAACATCGCCGCTTGCCAAGGGTTTTGCTTGATTCACCAGATCTGAGGGGGACACCAGTTCCAAAAGTGTCCAAATCCGGAGCCCCCCCCATACCCACAAGATTAGTCTTGCCATATACAAACCCTCCTGCCGAAGCCCTCGGCTGGCTTTCGTAATATATATATACATATAATATATATATATATTTTTTTTATATATGCAAATTTTGATTCGTGAGTAGTTGTCTGTCATTCAAAAGTTGCCAGTGTCTATGCCAACCCTTGTCCGCCGCACTTGCCGTTGCCCCTCTGTCAGGCACGAGCCCCCCTCTGGCACCGAAAGTCCACTACCATAATCTGTATAACAATATCTGCACCTGATGTCTCATCGCTGCTTCCTGATTTTGCGAAATTTTGTGGAGTTGTTGCGTTCAATGTTCCCTCAATACTCCTCGGAACTCATCAGCAAAACCTTCAACTGGTAGGCGCTGCACATCTTCCTGCCCAACGCACTTGGAACTTTGCTCCGCGGAGAACCCTCACATACCCTGCCATACACAAATTTAAACACAATCCCAAGCCCAGGCCTCAGCTCCGCATTCTCCGCGAGTAGCTTGTAACATATTCCCGGAATGGTAAAGCTATCACCTCAGTTTGCACGAAGCACCACGAAGCATCACAAAGCGGCGCCCTAGTTAGTTACCGGATGTTACCGGTATGACGTGGCAGGAGCCAAAGGACTACGCAACAAGCTCTGATTGCTCCCTTTGCTCCTTCAGTCTTCAAAATCTTAAAATGAGTTTCAGTTGCAATTTTGCTGGGCTTGGCTTCCAGGGAATCTTGCTTGTCTGTTTCGTAGTGAGAAGTTGGGCAATGGTTCTTTTGCAGGGGGCCTTCTCCCAACAATTGTGTGCTATCCAGACTATCGTGCTTGCTCCTGCCTGCGCAATCTTCATCCATTTTCTCACTTTTGTCTCCCTTACCTGCGCCTGCACTTTTTGTCTTGCTGCCAAGTCTCGGGATACCAGCCTGTCGTCATCTATCCTTAGTATGAATAAAATTCCATCAGGTTTCAGATCTAATCTAGCACTGCCAACTAGGCAAGTATATGTGAATAACCCAATGAGGCAACACGGTGTCAGCCGCCAGCCCTATCATCCCAGTTTAAACGAGAAACTGAATGATCTGGTCGATCTTCGCATTGGAGCTTGTGACCAAAAATGAAAACATCTCCTCGTCCTTGGTGGTATGCGGCCGTGGACGCTTCAAATGTAGCATCTCTCAACTGCCAATATTTGCATGTTTTGCATTCAGGCTTACTCCAAGCAGCTGAGTTGAAGGTTAATCCCTGGCCACGAAGATTGCAATCCTGGTAAAGGTCGTAGATCGAAAAGCGCTTGAGGTCCTGAGAGTTGTCACTTCATAAAACATTCACCGGCATTGGCCCGCTAGCAAGTTTCTTCATCAGCCGCCAAAGGCAGTAGAGCATTCTTTGTATCCACTGAACATGCTGAGTACTCCCTGAGCTGCCATATTATTCAGAGACAAACTGGGAGGTACAGGCAGCACCCATGCCATCCTGTGGAAAACAACTCCCGTGATCTATCTTGATCTTATGGACAAGAGCCTTCCGCTGTGCTTGCGAGACATCGGGAAACCACGTTGGGAGAGAAAGTGGGAGACAAGCTCCACGTCAGACTTGGGGCCACCGCGCTGTGAGATTAAGCTGGGAAACAAGTTTGGAGGCAAGCCCGACATCACTCTACTAACAAAGTTCGGGCCACCACACTAGGTCTGTTCCTCTGGCTTGCAGTATCTTGCAGCTAGATGGGAAACAACATGACGGATGCCTTGAGGGGATACCCCCGCCAACATACCTCAGAATAATAAAATATTATTCCGGCATAACTTGAATTCCAAAAAAATACTGTACTCCAAGAACTCACTGAGATATATGGGGATTTGGAATGATATTCATCAAAATGATACCGGTATAGTCTATTTCTAGCCAAACGCAAGTAATCGTAAGCAGCTTTCCCTTCTTGCAGAGCTGGGGCAAAAAAATTAAACCTGATCAGATAGGATCAAGAAGAATCAGAACAATATCTTTAAAAAAATGCCCTCTCAGCAACCCCCTGGTTGAACATGGTTTTGATTGGTTTTGGATGTTTTTCTAGTCTCTGGGCTAGTTTGGTGGTTGTAGCCCTAGTGGGAATGAGTGGGAAAAGGAAAATATTTGGTTGTCACTGGTATTTTTTGCCAATTTCTGAATTTGTTTTGTGATTGTAGCAGCTGCCCACTTTTGTTTTTGATGGGTGCCAGGCATCTCCTATACCTCTAGAATAATTTTTCCCCTGGGGACAGCCCGCAAAATGGGACTCAACTTGCAACTTGGCCCTTTCCTGGAGGTTTTCCCAACCTTGCGTGCGCCGCCCTATTTCTTCCATATTCCCTTCATTTCCTTCCAAAACAACTTTCGTTGGACATAGTGGGAACGAGTGGGTAATGTTTGGGTTTCATTTGTTTTTTTGACAATTCTTGCAAGTTTCTGGGCTAATTTGGCGATTAGCTGCCCACATTGGTTTTTGAGGGGTACCAGGCATGTCCAATACCCCTAGAATAATCTCCCCTGGGGACAGCCCGCAAAATGGGACTCAACTTGGCCCTTTCCTGGAGGTTTTCCCAACCTTGCGTACGCTCCCCTATTTCTTCCATATTGCCTTCATTTCTTTCCAAAAAAGACTTTCGTCGGACATAGTGGGAATGAGTGGGTAATGTTTGGGTTTCATTTGTTTCTTTTTGACAATTCTTGCAAGTTTCTGGGCTAATTTGGCGATTAGCTGCCCACATTGGTTTTTGAGGGGTACCAGGCATGTCCAATACCCCTAGAATAATTTCTCCCCTGGGGACAGCCCGCAAAATGGGACTCAACTTGGTCCTTTCCTGGAGGTTTTCCCAACCTTGCGTACGCCCCCCTATTTCTTCCATATTGCCTTCATTTCCTTCCAAAAAAATTTTCGTCGGACATAGTGGGAATGAGTGGGTAATGTTTGGGTTTCATTTGTTTTTTTGACAATTATTGCAAGTTTCTGGGCTAATTTGGCGATTAGCTGCCCACATTGGTTTTTGAGGGGTACCAGGCATGTCCAATACCCCTAGAATAATTTCTCCCCTGGGGACAGCCCGCAAAATGGGACTCAACTTGGCCCTTTCCTGGAGGTTTTCCCAACCTTGCGTACGCCCCCCTATTTCTTCCATATTGCCTTCATTTCCTTCCAAAAAATTTTTCGTCGGACATAGTGGGAATGAGTGGGTAATGTTTGGGTTTCATTTGTTTTTTTGACAAGCTGCCCACATTGGTTTTTGAGGGGTACCAGGCATGTTCAATACCCCTAGAATAATTTCTCCCCTGGGGACCGCCCGCAAAATGGGACTCAACTTGGCCCTTTCCGAGGCATTTTCCTAACATTCCCTTCATTGCCATCCAAAGAACTCTCGAGAAAGTATCGTTAGAGAAAGGTGGTCCGTTGGCCACTAGTTGTGCTAGCAGGTACGCCGCAAAAAAAAGGTTGGCAGCAATTGCCTAAACTGCATGATGCCTCAAACAACTGCAATTGGCATTTCCAGCAAAAAGCTTTCAGGCAAACACCGCCAAGATAGGAATGGCTTTTGGAAGGGCCAGGCCAAGTGTAGGAACGTATAGGCTGCTTCGAGATGTTTTAAGGTGTTTTAAGTTATAGAAAATTACTCCAAAACCTAATTATTCCGGGGTATGTTGACGGGGGGGGATCATGATTTTCAAGGTTCCGACATGCATCATCGTATACCTACCCCTTGAAGAAATTATTCTTTGAAATTATTCCACTAGGTTATAGAATAATTTTTAAAGGGATAGGTCATGAAACAACAATAGAAACAAATAGAAAATCACCACTGCTTTGGGGGGGCGGGTCCCCCAAACACGTAACATACACTTTTGATATGGTCAAAATGCAAGTTCTGGAAATCCTGCTGCTAGGGACCCCCTAGGGCGTAAAGTAGTATAAATGCATTCCCATATAGATGTAAGATACATCAATTAAAATGTATGTTCGAAAGAAGTTTAGAAGTCAAACTTCCGGCAATATGGACAGATGAAAAGCAGAGACGGGAAGAGTCAGAGAGAAGAGAAGAGTAGAAGAGAGAAGATCAGAGAAGAGAAAGAGTCAGAAGAAAGAAGCTCAGATGTGCGAAAAGGTAAGAAAGTCGCGAAACACTGCGTTTTTCCAATGATTTGTGGGTTCGGAGGGTCGAAAAGTAGGCTCGCTAAAGCGGCGGGTGCGGAGCCATGTGGCCACATGAGAGATGAAAAAGTGCACGCCGTTGTGGCGCGAAGCACATTTTGAAGTCAAAAAGTACAAAACACATCAGGTTCGGACCGCTTTTTCGAAGTTGAGATTTAGAAAAAGTGCGCGTTGTTGTGGCACGAAGCACATTTCGAAGTCAAAATGTACAAAACACACCAGGTTCGGACACTTTTGGAAGTTGCGATGTCGAAAAATTGCACGCCGTTGTGGCGCGAAGCACATTCCGAAGTCAAAATGTACAAAACACATCAGGTTCGGACCGCTTTTGGAAGTTGAGATGTCGAAAAAGTGCACGCCGTTGTGGCACGAAGCACATTTCGAAGTCAAAAAGAACAAAACGCACCAGGTTCGGACCGCTTTTTCGAAGTCGAAATTGAGACAAGTGCATGCTGTTGTGGCGCGAAGCACATTTCGAAGTCAAAATGTCAAAAGTACCAGGGGTTCGAACCGCTTTTGGACGTTCAGATGTCATTTCGCGTGGCAAGCGCAAGGGATTGTGCACCTTGTCAAAAGCAAGCAAAACGTGAGGGTTTTGGGGCATTTCCAAAAACCATGGCAGGCATGGGGCATTTGCAGAAGATCTGCATAGATGCCTTTTCCATGGCAGGCGCAGTGCAAGAGACATCTTCATCAGAGCTGTTAGGAGGTCCAGGCGCTGATTTCCTGAGAAGAGTTGCATTTTGGAGCATCAGATTTTCAGGTTTGCTGAGATGATTTTGCGTGACAGGTGCAGCACTTCGTATGACCTGGCATCATTTTTTCGTGGCAGGCGCATTAGTTTAGACAGGTGGACTGGAAAAATCGCAAAACACATTGGTACGAGGCCGTCAGCTCTGCACTCAACTTTCCATTTTTGAAGGAGGTCTCGCAGAATTGCTACATTTTTGATGTTGTCAACTTCGAAAAATGAGGAAGTGTCGCAGAATTGCTTCGTTTCTGACGTTGTCAAATTCAAAAATTGAGGCCGTCTCGCAGTTTTTGACGTTGTCAACTTCAAACATTGAGGACGTCTCGCAGAATTGCTGCGTTTTTGATGTTGTCAAGTTCAAAACCTGAGGACGTCCTGCAGAATAGCTTCGTTGTCAAGCTTGCAGATAGACAGGTAGATAGATAGACAGACAGACAGAGAGAGAGAGATAGACAGATAGACAGATAGACAGATAGACAGATAGATAGGTAGATAGGTAGATAGGTAGATAGAAAGAAAGATATATAGTGAGATAGACAGATAGACAGACAGGTAGATAGATAGATAGCTAGATAGATAGATAAATAGGTAGATAGATAGATAGATAGATAGACAGGTACATAGATAAACAGATAGATAGATAGATGGATAGATAGATAGATAGATAGAAAGATAGATAGATAATAGATAGATGGATGGATAGATAGATAGATAGATAGATAGACAGATAGATAGATAGATAGACATTGATAAACCCCTGTAATGCATATAATATAAATCAGGATTCTGGGGCCTGGGTTTTAATTTTTGAAGGTTTCTGGGTGTTAAAATTTGTTTTTGAATGGTGCAAGATACATATCAAAACGGTGTTGGCTCAGCACTAATTCGTTAGTCGTGTTTTATCCAATTCTGCTCTGGTTTACATATGCGTGGTTTATTCAGGCTAACCCCGTCCAGGTCGGCCCAGGTCCGCCTAAGTCTGCCCAGGTCAATCCCAAGTCCCAGGTTCGCCCAGGCTCTCCCAGGTTCTCCCAGGTCCTCCCAGGAAATTAATGATTTCCCGCGATTTTGTGGTCCGGGATTTCCTGGGAGAACCTGTATTTTCTGCGATTTTGTGGGGTTTCTGGGAATTCCTGGGAGAACCTGGATGTTATTTTCTGCGGTTTTGTGGGCTTCCGGGATTTCCTGGGAGAACCTGGGTGTTATTTTCTGCGATTTTGTGGGGTTTCCGGGATTTCCTGGGGGAACCTGGGTGGAAACAGTTGGGGATGGGCCTGGGAGAGCTGCAAGAGTTAGTTCGGGGAACACTGGCTGGAGGGTGGCCCGCTATTTTGACCCGCAATTTCTCAATTTCTGCCGCAGGCGTTGCCGCCCCCTTTGGCCTGCAGGTTTGCCACGCTTTAAAGTTTAGTTATAAGCATTACAGGGGTATAGCAAGATAGACAGAATAGATGGATAGATGGATAGATGGATAGATAGATCGATAGATAGACAAATGGATAGATAGATAGATAGACAGATAGATAGACAGATAGACAGATAGACAAATAGGTAGTTAGATAGACAGATGAGAGAGAGAGAGAGAGATAGATTGATAGATAGATAGATAGATAGAAAGATAGGTAGATAGAAAGAAAGATAGATAGATCGGTAGGTAGGTAGGTAGGTAGGTAGGTAGATAATCAGAGAAAGAGAGAGAAAGAGAGAGAACGAGAGAGAAAGAGAGAGAAAGAGAGAGAAAGAGAGAGAAAGAGAGGAGACCTCAACCACCTTTCGGTCCATCAGTGGATTCGCTCTGCCATCCGTGATTCACAACAACCAACCTATCCTATAGGTTTCCTATTTTTGAAACTTCCGCCACCGCCTTGTGCGGTACTACTGGTACATTTTTTGGGTTTGCACAATCATCAAGACCCTTGTCAAGTGTTTCAACATGCCTACAACAAACATGTTACTCATTAACATATGCTCAAAATTTTAACACGTCCAGCTGGGGTCACGGTCAGGTAAAACATTTCTTGCCCTCCTTTGCCATGGCCAAGTCATCCGCGGTCATCAATGAAACGTGCATTCTACTTAGAAATCTTGGAAATAGAAACAGAATTCATCACGATATGTCAAGCAATTTGGCAGCCCAGGATAGTGTGCACTGGTGCAGGCGCTGGGTCAAGTCTACGAGGTTCCGGAGAAGGTTCCGAAGGTTCCGGAGAAGGTCTGGGAGGCTTTGGTGCAGAGCCAGGTCAGGTTCAACAGGGTTCCGGAGAAGGTTCCGGATAAGGTTCCAGGAATCCTTGGTGCAAAGCCGAATCAAGTTCAACGGGTTCCGGAGAAGGTTCCGGTGAAGGTCTGGGAGGCTTTGGTGCAGATCTCCGGAGAAGGTTCTGGAGAAGGTTCCAGGAAGCCTTGGTGCAAAGCCAAGTCAAGTTCAACGGGTTCCGGAGAAGCTTGCGGAAGCCAAGCCAGGTCAGGTTCATTTAACTCACGGAAACCTAGCTGAGGTGTTTCCAGCGCTTGGCTTCCCAGCACGTTTCAGAAAGATTTGTAAAAATAAAAAACTGCGGCTGCTGGGGATACCAGCGAAACTTATTTTTTTTAAAGGCGTTGAATTTTTGAAATCTTTTTCACTCCCGTATTGAATTTTGAGATCAAAGTGTGTCCCTACAAGTACCCTAGATAGACCCTGCATCTTACATTTTGGCATACGCGTATGCGCATCGCATCGCAAATCGTGCCCTGGCAGTACAGGATAAACAGTTCGAAATTGTAACGTGGCCATGGAAAGGTTCCCAAACCCTGCAAAACAGAGTTTTTCCCGACACTAGACCCTGCATATTACAATGATGGTTCCTAACACTGCTGTGCCGCGCTTACATCAGGGTCGACATTTGTCGATATTCATCGACATTGACGATGTCTTTATGTCTGCAAAAATCGAAAATACAAGAGAACACACATAAAACCGAAAAAACACACAAACAAACAGGGCGCTGATCAAAAAAGAGGTATTTGGCGCAGCTACAGCCGCCGATCAACCGCGATTCCAACGGCGTCAATCGCAGGAGGGGGTTCTGTCGTAATTATGCGACACTATTTTGTGCAGAATCGTTAAAATATCGCTACATATGACAGTATTTAGAGACATGGCGTGAGCCAGGGCCTGCCCAGGCGGGTTTCACAATCGCGGAGCAATCGCGGATCAACCGCGAACCAATCGCGGATTTCATCGACACTTTTGGAAAATTGAACTGATCTGGGTTGTTAGACTTTGAACTTGTTGTTCTGATTCCTCTTTGCTATTGGCTATCACTATTGAGCACAGTGTCTAGGCAGACCCGAATACAGTATAAGTAAAAGGCTGAAGTGTAACATTTCTATCATGCCATTAAAACATAATATTGATTTCTCGTCTTACAAAGTCGTTTCTTATACAACAAGTGTTTGTCTCAATCGCGAGCCAATCGGGATGAAGGGTTTTACAATCGCGGATGCTGAAATACACATGCCCTTTCATAATTCTTAGGCTTGCATTCTTGCATTTGCGGCCGGCCCCCTTTAATGAGAAACAGTATCAACATTAAATGTATAAACATATAAAACATTTACAAACGCATTGAAAAATGTGACATAGACCTCCCGAATCTATGCTTATTTTCCTTGGCAATATGTTACATCTGCTTGGGAGGCGGGAGTGCCCCAGCCATACGTATGGTTTGATATGATTTGATATGATTTGATAATGTTTTGGTCCCCCCGCCTTAACAAGTGTGACATGCAGGTGGCGGGTGCATGTTATATTTGTTGAGGGGCAGCCGGGCAACCCTCCTCCCCTTCTATGATAGCTACATAGATGGGGGGGGGCCCAAAAAATACAACGTTAAATATTGTATGTTACATTTTTGGGGTCCCGGGGGTCCTTGGCCGGGTTAATGGAATGGAGATGATAGAAATACAAAATCCCACAAGAGATGTGCAAACACATCGGAAAGATATCCGAAGATAAGCCGAGCATCGTCCCATCGACTTTTTAGGATCTCCAATCCTTCCAAAAAAGTTTGAAGTGGCAGTTCCGTGCCCATGTCGTGCCAACTTGGCCAGGTGGCCGCACCCTTCTTCAAACACCACACATCCAAATCCTTCTTCCAAGTCTTCTCACCCATCAGCACCAAACCTGTTTCTATCACCTTCTCCAAAAACCAATGATAATAATGATCAATAGTGGCCTCCAAAGCTGGTAGATTTCTTTTTGTAAAAATGTGCAAAAATTTGCAAACATATGCGAAAGTAAAATGTAAAAACCATTAGAAAACGATGAAAAACGGCGATATGTGCGACAAGGCCAATATAAAAACAAAGATACAATACGATTTGCGAAATCCAGCTCGCATTTTACCTCCCGCGGCACAGCTCCTGGGCGTGAGATGTCGGGCTTCTGGCTGCGATAAGATTTGAGAAGCTCTCTCTGGTCCAGCAAGGCCTTCGTCATGTGGCAACATGCAGCAAGCGTAGCAAATCAGTGCAAATCATATAGTATGAGTAGATTGTCGCAATTTCACGATCATGCAACATGTATGTTTACACGCATATGTATACCAACTTAAAATTCAAGTTTCGCCTGTACATGTACAAGTGACATCTATTGCAGATTTGATTTGCAGCGTTTGGGGGCAAACTGCCCTAAGTTTTCCAGCTCCTTGTGTTTCAGCTCCAGCACTTCCCGTCGGCTGTCCTCGCGCGCCAGGCGCGGGTCCAGTGGAACTTCTTCCAAGGCTTTACAGGGAGGAAAATCTTCAGTGTCAATATCGTTTGTTTTGTGCACGTAAAGCCCGCGGAGGTGTTGCATTTCTTTTGAAACATATCCAAAACCCACGGGGGAAACACACACACACAGATATATATATATATATTTAAAAACAATGTTGCATCACAGGGGCCATAGATATCCATAGATGCCATAAATACAAAAACCACAAATGCACAATTACACCCTTGAATCAGAAAAAAAACTCTCAGCAAAAACAAAAAGTGCAGTTTAACAAAATAAGAAGGCGCAGGAGATCGAGGGCAAGTAGCAAGTCGTTCGAAAACACACAGATTGATTGCGAAGCACAGCACGTGAATGAAACGGAGGAATAGAAAATAACTTTATGGCGACGGGCAAACACGTAGAACATTATTTGGAAAAAGAGTCAAAGTATGACGGGAGAACTGGAGTTATATAGAACATATCAAAAACCCTCGCGCATAGAATGTCCCAATGCATGACAACATACAAATCCGCCGGCCTGCCGGCGTGTCTTGAGAATCTTGCTTGTTCGTAGTTGTACTGTATGTTTTGTCTTTGTCTTTGTCTAGACTTTCCCCTTGGTGCGGATTTTTGCCTCGTCTAACTTGAACCCCCCTCCCTCCCTCCACCTAGCTCTTTTCGTTTCGTCTTCATCTTTCCTTATGATGTGGCGGGCTCAACTCTGCCCACGCCTCGCTCAACACCGGCTTGGTTTTGCACATCTTGCTGTCATTTCCATGGTTGTTTCCGCTTTTTGTTGTCTTTGCCATCGGTTTGCCCCGTCGCTTCTTATATCCAATACTTGATCCACCGGCTTTTGCGCCGAACTCCTTTTACTCGCATAAAATTTCTAAATGTTGCCTTTTCCAAACCAAAGCTTTTCTCAATATGGCCTTTTCCAAAACCCTGGTTTACACAGCCCCGCTGTGTTCACATGAACTTGGGGTTGAATCTGTGCTGCTGGTAAAGGCAGCGGTGGTAACCAAGACATCGTGAAAGGATCGCGTTGGTGTTGACCATCAAATCGAGGTGGTGGCCCTCCACCACTTTTTGACGACATGGCTATAGCATACGCAGCATTGTGATGTTAATAAAAGGTAAGCAACAAAAGACAAAAAAAACTATAACCCGTTCGGAACAGTCCAAAACCTTTTGCACGTGTATTGTTGTCATGAATTCAGATATGCATCCAGCACTGATTACCCAAGCTTGAAGCTTCAAACAAGCATGGAAAGAGAACCAATTCAAACAGAGTTTCGCTGTGCAACGAGATCACTGAGTGCCGCAACATCCATGCGGCGTCTGTTAGACTTCGCCCTAAGGCTCCTTCACCGCTAGGCGTCCTTCACCTCTAGGTGTCCTTCACCGCTAGGCCTTCTTTTAAGTGCCGCTAGGCTGTTCTTCGCCCATTTGGGCTCCTTCTACTGTCATCTCTATGGCTGTCATCCTACACGACATGCTGATGTGTCGCCAGATAATCTTTGAGCTGCCTGCGATGGTGTCGGCATAATCTGCCGTGCGCCCAGTACACACTGCTGAATTGGGTTTGAAGTTTGAAGTGGAAAGTCTTTTGGCTGATCCCATTCTCGCCTTGAAAATTCCTTAGGGTTCTGGCTGACACTTCTGATTTTAAAAAACCTTGAGCGCCGATATGGGAAAGATGCCCCTCACTCTGCCAGGCCAGTGCAACACCTGAAAGTTCCCAAACAAGCTCAAAGTCATGCTAGCGCAATAAATGAAAACTCCTAAATGATTTCAATGCCATGCCAGTGCAACACATGAAGGCTCCCAAACTAGCTCAGTGCCATGCCCATGAAGGCCCCCATGCTTTGCTAGCTCAATACATGAAGACCCCCAACTAGCTCAGTGCCAGACCCGTGCAACATATGAAGGCTCCCGGACAAGCTCGATGCCATGCCAGCGCAATACATGAATGCTCCCAAATGGGCTCAGAAACTTCTGAAGCGAACTAGATGAAACAGGACGAAGGGTCTAACTTCTTAAAGCAAGCAGCGTCATGGAGAAACAGAAATCAACAGTTCTACTCGCAGGTGCGTGCAATTGATCAGACTGATTATCCTCTCCAAACATCAGTAGCTTCGTTGGCCGCGGACTGATGAATGGAGCCGTGGCCCCCTGCTCTGTTTCAAGCCAAAGATCGATTTACACATGAATATGTGCTCGCGCCTGCATGTGATAGCAAGATCCACACACACACACAACTCTGTCATAAACATCTCTATCACACACACACACCACTCTTTCACCTACTCCTCTGTGACACACAGCTCTTTCCCACAATCTGTCTCCCACCATCTACTTTGTCTTTTCTGCCTTTCCCATCCCATTTTCACACCTGTTTTGTGCTTATTGGAAGAAGCTGACATGTGGGGTTATCCGGTCCTTCAATTTCCCAAACCCTACTTTTCTGAATTTGGTGCTGCCGGTAAGATAATACAAGATTGTGGCGCTGGTGGGGGGTGGGTATCGGGGAGCGGGGCTGACGGAGTGGGATGGGGTTGGTTGGTTCAAAGAATGCAAGCGACGCAAGTAGCATACAAGCAATACACACACACACAACGTAAAGGTGGCTATGCAAGTCAAATAGTATATCAAGAAATTTCCGAGGCTGCAGCGCTCCATCTGTCGTCCGCGCGGTCATCATGTAAGGACAAAAAGTTGCCATAGACAAGCCAAGGCAATAAATACACACATGGCGGCAAATTCAAACCACAAAGTTTATCCCATTCGGAACAAATTACACAACATGTATCAATGCGTGTGACAATAGCAATGCTATTTAAGGTCATCAGAAGCATTGGTGAGAAAGGCTGGGTTCGGGGGGATCTGAAAACAGTATGGCCATAGGCCGCCATAGCAATTTCAACAAGGCGGCGTTCGAATCCCACATGTTCAGCAAATGCTCCGGTCCTGCAGTTCCTGCATGTAAATCTCCTGCGCCTTCAATGCAGTTACCTCAAAACAGAATGCAGCTGAAGCGCAGGCTGTGGACCCCCGAGAACGATTGGCACCAACTTTTTCAACCAAAATGTTTGTAACTAACCTGTAAGTTTTCTGTGAAGAGTTTGACGGTGTCTCTTTACTTCACCCTGGAATGGCCTCTGACAGCTGCGACAGCACAGCCGCAATTTGCTCAGCAAGATATGCTTCGCCCCTGTCTGCCCCTGACAGAACAACTGCAGCTTACCCTATGAAAAAAACGCTGCTGCAAAATGGCTTGAAAAAATTGGAAACACATATCGTCTTACCCCTACTTTATTGCCTAATATGAAATCTCCCAGAAAAGGCGCTAAACACCCAAAAATAGGCTTTAAAGAGCTTTGGGCTTAGTTTAGGTATCATTCTGCATTGCGCTTTCCAAAGGGCTGCTGTCAAGATCTCAGGCAAACATGTGGTGGCCTATTGAAAGCAGATCTGTCTCTTCTTTTCGGCCTTTTGTCCTTGGCTTGGGACGCAAGAGAAAGCGCTTCTTGGCCCAACGGGGACGCCGCAACAGGACGCCGCAACAGCATACATTAGCAAAACTGCAAGGCCGTGGTGATGGTACACCGTTGCTTTTTCGCTTCAGGGTGAATTTTTTGTAGCTCGAAGGATCTGCGGGCAGCATGTATCTGTCCATGTGGAGGCTGACCCGTGCAACCCAACCTGGAAGCCCAATGCATTCCGAGTTGCGCTCTTTTCAGTTTCATGAGTTCGCGTGCATGTCTTGCGCTCGATATCTTTTCCTTTCCTTAGCTATATAATGCTATGTACGTCCCTTGATGCCAGCGGGTAAATTTACAATTTCTGTTTGGAAGCGAGAGAAACCGGAATGTGCCCATGAGCACTTTGGATCTTGACGAATCTCTTATTAGCCAGCCACACTTGAAAGCTGAAAGCGCCAGTGGAGCATGAGCATGCGTGAAACATCATGAAACTAAGTTGATGAAACCCTTGTCAACGACAGCCAAACCACTCAGCGACCTCACAGCCTTGGGGCCCCACCCACAGACATGGAAAAAATGAAACAGCATCGGCTAACATTGATGTCTCAAACCCAACTGCACCATAATCACCGTAGCAGTTCATCTCCTCCTTGAACCTCTTGCACATGTGCATGTTCTTAATGGGCAAGCCCGCAGAATCGCGAAAGGTGGGTGTGCCCGATCGCCTTCGATCTCAAAATCTTGTGTCTCGATATCCCGTGATATCCCCCAGACATGTTCTTGCTAGGGCCGTCTGTTTCTCCCAGCCTGTCTCTAGATCCAAGCGCTCAGTGTCTTTCTGTCTGCCTGCCTGTCTGTCTGTCTGTCTGTCTATCTCTCTGGCTGGCTGGCTGTCTGGCTGTCTGTCCGTCTGTCTCTGTCTGGCTGTCCGTGAATGCATCGGCCCACGGTTTGTGCTGTGTGGATGTCTGCGAAATGGTTAAAGGATCACTTAGAGCACCCGAAAGTGGACCACTTAGAGCACCGGATCACTTAGAGCACTGGGGCTGGGATATGGGCTGGGTCCAGCATGGTGGATTACATTAGAGCACCAGGGAATGACGCCTTTTTGACTTGGGGGCACGGGGCTGAAGACATGGGGTGGGTTTAGGGGACCAGCCAGCAGAGCACCAGAGAATGAAACCTTTAGGGTTTGACTTGGGAACACGGGGCTGGGACACGGGGTGGGTTCAGGGGGCCAGCATGGTGGATTGATTCCATTAGAGCACCAAACAATGAGACCTTTATGGGACACAGGGTGGGTTTAAGGGGGCCAGCATGGTGGATTACATAAGAGCACCAGAGAATGCGGCAGGGACATAAGAATGGCCTTCTGACCAGAACCTTAAATAAATTCCAAACGAGGTCAACATGTCAATTCGATGGTTCGCCTCCTTGTACTCACAAAACTATCAGAAATGGGGGAAAATCAGTCCCATTCATGCGCCCCGCGATTCCACACCAGCCCTGGATTGCCATGCTGACATGCATGCTCTATGTACATATGTCTGTGTATGCGTCCCTGTGCATATGTGCGTGCATGGCACAATGCTTGCATGCATCCATGATCAATCATCCATGCATGTATTTATGCCCGTCTGTCTGGCTGTATGTCTATCTGCCTGTCTGTCTGTCTGTCTGCCTGTCTGTCTGTATCTTTTGCAAAGCCATGTGTGTGTATGCATGTCTCTATGCATGCAGGCAGGTATGTAGGTATGTATGTGTGGAAATGTAGGTGTGTAATGTAATGGTATGTGATGTACTGCAATGTAATGGTGTGTAATGTAAGGTAATTTGATGTAATGTAGTGTAATGTAAAGAAATGCACTGTAATTTAATGTGCTTTAATGGTATGTACTGTAATGCGATGTGATGTAATGTAATATAACATAATGATATGTAATGTACTGTACCGTCCTGTGGTGTAATGTAATGTAACAGTATGTTATGTGATGTGATGGCACGTTCTGTGCTGTATTGTAAAGTGATGCAATGTAACGTTATGCAATGTAATGGTGTGTGATGTAGTGTCATGTAATGTAATGCAATATAATGTAATGTAATGGGATGTTATGGTATGTTCTGTTATGTTATTTAGAGGGTCGGAGAGCAGAAGCACTTCGAGCGCCGGAAGGCGGATCGTATGTTCACCGCTTCCAGCCAGATCCTATAAAACAATGGAATATTTTTTTCCTCAAAAACTGTGAAAAAATGTAAAACCAAAAAAGCCACCCGAAAAAAAAGCAAATCAACAAGCAAAAAAAAAAAGCAAAAAAAAGCAAAAAAATACAAAAGCAAAGGCAAAAGGAACATATAAAAATCAAACTTCAAATCTCAATCTGTATTTGGTTGCAAAAGCAAATACCTGACCTCATGCAAACAATGGTTTAGATAGTTTAGCTGCTTAGCTTTAACTGATCTAGTTGGTGATGCTCATATGTGGGATAGTTACCTGATAGTTGATGTTGTGATTTTTTGTTATATGGCTAGCGGCTAGCGGGCTACAGTAGCGAGAAAAAAGTGAAATCAAACATAGCTGAGAACCGATAACCGTTAAACCAAGAACCTCATGGAACAGATTTTTTTGGACCATGAATTTTTTCATGTAACTTGTAAATGCAGTCATGTGGTGTCTTAGACTTAGACATCTGGCCAGGTGGTGGTGATGTAGTTTCAGATTTGACCTTTTTTTTTTCGGGCCATGGTTTTTTGCATGGATTTATTTGCATGGATTTACTCGCATGGATTTATTCACATGGATTTATTCGCATGAGCCAATTTTCTGTTTATGTTGCGTCCTAGACGCACTGCTGTGAAAACATGAAAGGCAAACTTAGCCCACAGCTAGACTGAACCATTGTGCATAACGACGCTGCACTGCAGCGAGAACATGGAATGAGCCACAGCTTGACTGTTAGTGTAATGCATTTTTACCCAACACGCTGCACAGAACCGCAACTTGAGCGAACTAAGCTGAACTACAACTATTTTTATTTGTTTTTTAAAATTTGAACCGCATCCACGATTTAAATTTGTCTATTTGTTTTTAGTGCATCGTTTATAAACTCAACAAACCACAGCTAGAATGAACAAGTTTGAGCTGTGCTGCTGCTACGACTGGGATGTTTGACTGTTTGTTTTTTTTGAGGGACTGTTTGGTGAGAAGTGTCAACTGTGCATCTACGGAGCTAGTCCCTTGGGCCCGGATTGTAATTTTGTAGGCACAGATGCAGCTAGAATGTTTTTATATGATCGGACTGGGCGTGTTTGACAACGTGCCCTGCCAAGACAAGAGGCAAAAATCCAGAGAATCTAGAGTCTCTAGAGTCTAGAGTTAAGCCGTGCAGAGCTGTCCCACTGCCAACTGTGACAAAGTTCGTGAGCAATGGCCGGTTTATCCAGGCATTTCATTTCCGTCATTTCCTTTTTTTTGTTTAGCCTTGTTGCAGGGTGACTGGTTCCCAATTTGGACTTATGGTTGTGCAGTCTTCGTTTCAAAGCATGCTGAGCTGGAGCTTACGTTCTTTCCTTGAGCTTTTTTTTTAAAAACTAGATCTGTATTGTTTCTTCTGTGCTGGTGTCCTCAGTTCAGTAGAGGGTTTTTTCCTGGGAGTCTTGCCTGGCGAGTTAAGAAATTTGAGGTCTGCCTTGGAGACAGGAGTGCTGCAATTTTTTGAGGTGCCTCCAGGCGGTTCAGTGGTGAGCTGCCTTTTTCTTCTCTTTTTTTTGCATTTTGTTTTTGCTGCTCTGGCTGGGTCGCATTTTTTTGGTGATTTGTTTTTTTTTGCATTTTTTGTTTTGTTTTTTTTTCGAATTGTGTTTTTTTTGTTTTTTTTTGTTTTTTCTTTTTGGGGGGGGCATTTTTTGCATTTTTTTTTGTAGCTCAAAAAGTTGCCATGGGGTGACTCCTCTTCGATGAGGTAGTCACACTTCTCTGCCTGCCTGTCACGCGGAGTTTTGGCAACCAGCAATCGATGCGCTGGAGCTTACGTTCTTTCCTTGAGGTCTCTGTTCAAAAAAAATTGCTTACCCAGCTACGTGCTAGCTAGCAGCTAGCAGCTAGCAGCTAGCAGCTAGCAGCTAGCAGCTAGCGGCAGCTAGCACAGTTGACACTTCTCACCAAACAGTCCCTCAAAAAAAACAAACAGTCAAACATCCCAGTCGTAGCAGCAGCACAGCTCAAACTTGTTCATTCTAGCTGTGGTTTGTTGAGTTTATAAACGATGCACTAAAAACAAATAGTAGACAAATTTAAATCGTGGATGCGGTTCAAATTTCAAAAAGCAAATAAACATAGTTGTAGTTCAGCTTAGTTCGCTCAAGTTGCGGTTCTGTGCAGCGTGTTGAGTAAAAATGCATTACACTAACAGTCAAGCTGTGGCTCATTCCATGTTCTCGCTGCAGTGCAGCGTCGTTATGCACAATGGTTCAGTCTAGCTGTGGGCTAAGTTTGCCTTTCATGTTTTCACAGCAGTGCGTCTAGGACGCAACATAAACAGACAATTGACTCATGCGAATAAATCCATGCGAATAAATCCATGTGAATAAATCCATGATATCCATGCGAGTAAACCCATGCAAATAAATCCATGCAAACACCATGGCCAAAAAAAAAGGTCAAATCTGAAACTACATCACCACCACCTGGCCAGATGTCTAAGTCTAAGACACCACATGACTGCATTTACAAGTTACATGAAAAAAATTCATGGTCCAAAAAAATCTGTTCCATGAGGTTCTTGGTTTAACGGTTATCGGTTCTCAGCTACGTTTGATTTCACTTTTTTCTCGCTAGCCCGCTAGCCGCTAGCCATATAACAAAAAATCACAACATCAACTATCAGGTAACTATCCCACATATTTCAAAAATGAAATGTTTTGTATGCCATATGCTACATACTTTATAGTATACTATATCTGATATCTGTATTTCAATACTATATCCGTATATCCGATATATCCAATTTGATATTGCGGATTTCAAATCCAGCTAGTGACTTTATGTTTTGTCTACTTATTATGATTATGATTGTCTACTTATTCTGAAGGGATTATAATTAGTAATTGTAGTAATACTTTACTAATTTTAAATCTAATCAAATCTAATTCTGTTTTTTCTGTTTTTCTTTTTTTTGGTGTTGTTTTTGCATTTTTTTTGCTTTTTTTTTTTTTTTGTGTTTTTTGCATTTTGATTTGTTTTTTTTGGGTTGCTTTTTTGTTTTACATTCTTCCACATTTTCTCACAAATAAATTGATCACAAAGTTT